CCCACTGTGTGGTCAAGTTACTTCCTCTTGACTGTGGGTCCAGTTACTTCCCCTCTGTGAGGACGATTATCATCTCCCCTTAGACGGTTATCATGAGGAATAGCGATAACGAAAGCCATGTGCCTACCACATGTACCACATGCCCGTTACCTAGTAGGCACACCATAAATGGTCCTGATTCCATTATAGCAAATAGGCATCCCAGTGCGCCTTTGGAATCAACACAGTCTTATTTTAAGACTTAAAAAAACAAAAAGATCTTGAATGCCTAATAATTGCATAAGAAACATTTTCACATGACCAAAACATCTATTAATGCGAACACTCTCTTCCTCTCTTCTCCAGCCATGTCAATGACGGATCGCGTCTTACCTTCTCCTTCCTCTGCTAAGTTTTCATTGCTTAAGGGAAAAAAATGAAACTGGTTGTACATTAAATTTCCATTATTTTAAATGTAAGTGCCTGGGATTTTTAAGCAGTAAACTATTTGAACTGATTTTGTTTAATAAAATTCACCTGAAAATGACTGCAATTTTGCAGATTAAATATGCAGTCTAAATTGGTGAGGTTTTGCTGTATTGAAAAATGAAATAACACGTTTGACAGAGTTGTAACACCTACTACTTTTTCACATCACAAACTGTGCTTAATGCTTTTCCTTGAGTTTTTAACAGTAATCAAAAATCCATGTCTCTAAATTAGTTGACAACAGAGGACAGTATTACACCTCACAATTTTAATAGCATTGTTATTAATAATAATAATAGCCCTGCCCCTCAGCTGGCTACTAAAGAAATGGGGGGGATGGGAAGAAGAAGCAAGTGTGAACGCTAAATGCCTTGTGAATTCAGGGTAGGCACAGAGGCAGAGCGCTAGCTCTGGGGAGCAGCGTGTATCACCTCCCTTTCCATTGGCTGTTCATCCAACATCAATAGAACACTTTAGGAGCCAAATTACTAAACAAGCTGCCAATTAGGCTTGCAGTCAGCTGGATAGATTAGCGGCTGAGAGGCCGACACAAGATTTCCATCTCTTGAGCCAATTACGCAAGTGAATTACCATCCACAATGCTCTTGGAAGATTTGAGGGGAAAAGACCCGACTCCTCGGTAATAGATATAAGAGATCCAGCATAGGGGGGCCGGAGGGGGAGCACGCGGAAGCGTCAGCAGCCTGCGCGTTGCTAACGTTGCCCAAGCAGAGGGAGCTTTCTAGGGAAGGACTTAAAGGATTTAGCACTGTGAGAGCAAAAGAAAAGGAAATCATGGTTGTGGTAGACTGTGCTGAGGCTGAGTTGTTCCACTCACCAGTCTTCGTCATAAGGGAAGGGTGAGAGACCAGCAGTAGATCTCACACGAGAGTCGTTGTCCATGAAAAATGAAGTATCTGGTTTTCTTTTCTTTTTGAAGATTGTATAGAAAGGCCTGTTGTTTTTCCAGGGGTCCGTCTGTGTGTGTGAGTGAAAAGATTCAGCATTCAAGGAATTAAATGTTCTTCTTCCCCTCACCCCCTTCTAAGTACAAGATAATGCTTTATTTCGTTTCATTTTATATTTATTATAAAGAGAAAGGAAACCAGCATTTAAAAAGAGAGAAAAGGGATTCTTTTCTGCCTATGTAAAAACACAAGCTTGGGAATAGGGTAGCCACTGCATGCTTGAAATACCAGCAGTTTAAAATTGTGATAGTAAGTCAAGGATCATTTGCTGTTCACTTTAGGAATGAGAACTGACCACAGTTTAGCAAGTTTAGATACGTTTTAAATTGGCCTCCTGGTTTTTTTCTTAAATGTTAAATTTTAAGCCTGAACTTTTACAAGCTGTTATATCAAAAATATGACTAAACAGATGTGTAGCCTGGAGCAGCATTAGAACTCTGATCTGATTTCTGTTTACAGATGGAATTAAATTAATTCGTGGCAATCACTAAAAAATCAGAGGTATGGGACCAAGTGCCAGTGCACTGTTTAACCGAATGTACCTGATCAGCAGCTGTTCGGAAAAAAATTACATACATTAATTTTTCTTAGACGTCTGTCTCAGTTGCCACCATAGTCATAGTCATAGTTATTACATTAAGCAAGATTTTTGACCAAAGGCTTTTCTAGTTTTTGTAACTAAGAGGTCCACGTTTTAGATTTATTTACTTACGCATATACATAAAATATAACTGTATCACCTAAACCTCGTAGCTTATAGTTACAAGGTTCGGGTAACACATTTTCTAATTAGAAATTTAGTCTTTGTATATGTATTTCTTTTGCCCTGGTCAAACAGTAAGTAATGTTAGTCAAGACTTTTTCTGTGACATCAGACACTTCCATTCAAGCTGTTGGGAACTGAATGTTTTCTCTTTGTTTTACCTCTCATATGTTAAGGTACTTGTTTCCATGAGCCCAGAACCAACTTGTTAAGTCCCAAACCCACTCATCATTGTGGTAACCCAGATATTGGTCCCTGTATTAATACTAAATTTAGCAGATGGCAGTCAGGCATTTTATTCTCAGTCCTAAAAATCAGCGAAAAATCATTGATGGTTGCTCTGTAGTAAATAAGAGAGTTTCTGGTATTCAAGCTCGTCTCTAACATTTTTCAGTTTCCCTTCTTCTGTAGGTCAGAATCCTGGGGAACCATGTACTTGCTGTCTCAGGCAGGATATGCTCTTGGTCCACTACTGACTTTTCTTTTTGTATTTCATTCTTTACTGTGAAGTACTTATACCAAAGAATACATGAAAACATATATGTACCGTTTAAAGAGCAATAATAAATTGGCCATTTGTTGAACCAGCATCCAGGTCGTGAAATAGACTACTACAGTATTCCAGAAACGCTCAGGTAATATTTGTGTTTTCGTTACTGATGTTTGAGGATCCTGTGGTGCCTGTATCACCATCCTGAACATAACCTTAGAGGAGCAGGACAGAAGGTCCCAACCTTTTTTTTTTTTTTTTCAGTGGAGGAGGGGATAAAAGGCATTGTCATAGTCCTGGGTCAGAGAAGAAAAAATGATGATGATAGAAAAGAGTGTGGGCAGGTTAGTGCTACCAAAAAAATCTGACTCACAAACCTTTAAGAGTAGCAGGTGGTCTTGTCCACAGCTACCCAGTTAACCCCCATCTGGAAAAACACAGTCCAGATTTCAGAGCAAAAATATGCCAGACTCAGGACTGGGCTGGTCTACAGCAGGCATCGTGCAGACATGTGCACGGCGAGACGTCTTTATCCCTGGAGGCCTGCAGAGGAAATGCGACCAACCTCCACATCCCTGTTAACGTTTGTCACACAAGCCCTGATTAGGAGACTGGGCTGAAAATGTGCTAACTAAAACAAAGGTTATTTTAAGATAACCCGTCTCCCCTTTTCCCTTCACAGTCTCTTAATACCGGTATGTTTGATAATCACTTCCTTCTTCGGGAAGGGGTGGAGGAGGGGGCAATCATAAGAAATGCTCTAGTAACTGAGGGTCCTGGTTGCTTGTATCTGGTTAACTCCAGATTTGCTGTATTCCTTTTTCATAAACTGTAGTCTAACAGCTGCTGCTAAGGATGGACAGAAAGGGACCAGTCCGGGAGAGCCAGCCCCTCCCACAGCTGGGCAGACACACCACGCCTGAGCCTGCAGTTGAGGGAAGGATCTCAGGTCCTTGGGATTTTTGTATTTCTGTGACATTTGTTAATTTCTCAGTTCTCTGCCTTTAGATATGTAGTACTTCTAGATTTTCCCGTAGAATGAAGTATACAATACATATGCTCAACATTCTCCATAAGGACTTACAGGAAAATTTAAGTTAAATTTTTTTTTTTTAAATCATCAGATAGAAAATGCATAAAATAGATGTGTCTCTCAGTTATCTTTGCTAAGAAAATAGGGGAACAACAGCTATTTCTAAACCTCGTGTTAAACACTAGCCAGTCTCCTTGTCTAAAATAAGGGATGAAGGTAGCTTGGAGGGAGAGAGAGAGGGCAGGAGGAAGGAAGGAAGGACAAGAAGAAATAAAGAAGGAAAATGGGAAGGAAATATATGCTCCATACAATACCTATCTATCTGTGGATATATATATATGTATATAAACCCATGTGTATATGTATATATAAAACAAAACAAAACCAGTTGCTGTCAAGTCATCGTGAACTCATGATGATCCCACGTATGTCAGAGAAGAGCTGTGCTCCACAATGTTTTCAATGTCTGTGGCCTTTCAGAAGTAGATTGCCAGGCCTTTCTTTGGAGGTGCCTCCAGCTGGATTCAAACTGCCAGCCTTTTGGTTAGTAGCTAAGCACCTGTTGGTGCTATCCAGGGACTCTCTGCCTACACACACACACACACACGCACACACACACGCACACGCACACACTTTCCCCTCGACGCCTGTCTCTAGTCATTAAACATGGAAATGGAAAGAGAAACAGGGAGAGAATTAAAGGATGCATGAGTTACAGGTTGAATAATAAATAACAAGAAGAGGATTATAAAAATGTAAATCCTTAGGAATTAAGGGTGCCATCAGCTGTGCTTTTCGTTGGATTTTGTTCTAGTTTGGTTGCGGTTTTGCGAATGTCGAGGCCCTGGACGAATATATGATATTATGGTGCTAAGCTGGAGATTTTCAGAATTATCCGCGAGGCTACCCTGATAATGAGGATAAATCCATTTGTAGAGTACTTCGTGATTTACTGATCGTAATCATGTAAGTAAAATCAGTACACGATCTTACGACGTTCCGTGCGACAGGCAGTGTACCTTGTGTTACGCCTGTTTTACAGATGAGAAAACAAAGGCTCAAAGAGGTTAAAAATAAGTTACTAAGGGTTAGAACTGAAACTCCCACCCAAATCTTTCTTCACAGTTTTTCCTCCAGTACAAGTTACTTATCCAAAGATGGATGAACAACCCTGTCTGGTACCTGGTTGAAAAAAACCTAAGAGAACATGGTGTATTTAGCCAGAGAGGACCTTTATCTGTGTCAGTCCTAATGTGTGTTGTCCTGTTATTATTTCAGGATTTGTAGGTGAAAACGCTCAGCCCATCCTAGAAAACAACATTGGAAACCGAATGCTTCAGAGTATGGGCTGGACACCTGGGTCAGGCCTGGGACGAGATGGCAAGGGGATCTCTGAGCCAATTCAAGCTTTGCAGCGGCCAAAAGGATTAGGACTTGGTTTTCCTCTACCGAGAAGCACTGCCACAGCTTCTACCCCCAATTCAGGAAAACCTACCTAAGAGGAAGAGAAAGAAGAAACGTTTTATGGTTTTTATTCACTATATCCCGTTGTTCTTAAATTACAACATAGCTTCTGGTTTTGGAGCAGAAATCTACATGCCTCAAACTCATCATTCTAGCTTCCTGCGTGCACAGAGTCCTGCCACAGTGAGAAATGGGATTTCATCACAGCTCATGGTGCTAAAGTGAACACCTGTACCCTTTAAAGTTTTTCGGCTGTTTACAGCTCTGTCTAGGTAGGAAGAACAGCCCTCCTCTCTTATTTATTTAGATCTCAGATGTCAGTAACTTTCATGCTTTCGCTTCATTCGTGTGTGTGTGTGATGCCCAGGGAAATGTGAGCGTACCACAGGTTTCTGAAATGGCGGAGGTCAGAAGGGAACGTGTTCCGTGTCATCCCTGTCTGTTGTAACCCAAAAAACCTGTTATCGCCTCAGTGAAGTTCCATGCAAATCTGTGTTCAGCAGGCTTGCCAATTTCACATTCCTTCGCGACCTTTGGGTTTGTCGTGAAGATTCTGCAATGGGGTGACACCCGTTGATATCTGTCTTCGGACAGTGTAGTCTGAAGTCCACAGATGATAAATAGCAAGTCATATTTCCGTTGGACATTTTTCTTTTGACAAAATAAACCTCATCATTATTATCACCAGAGTGCCCTCGACCTCACTATAATGCAGATTTTATAAATTTTACCTCATTTAGAACATAAAATAATTATTGAAAGAAAAAAATGTATTTTTTAGATTCCCCCGACTGAACCGTAAGTTCTCTTAACTCAGACGGACTTCTACCTCTCTTCTTCCCGAAGGTTGATTTTTTTTTTAAGAACAACGTAAACTGATTTTAAATTTTAATCATTGGACTAAATTATTAGAGTATCGAATCTTTTTTTTTTTGAAGATTTAAGTGGCTCTCCCAGGAATTCAGAAATTTCTGGCAGTAGCCCAACCCATTTACAGAGTGAACAAGAGAAATGAATGGTTGTGACGGCCCCAGCTAAGATCTAAGCCGTTCCTTTAAAACCAAGCGAAACAAGTCGCTTTTATCGTGTGCTGAGTACTGAGTTATTTCAGAACCCTAGTGTCAGAGATTCTAAGTTTCTCCGAGTTTACGAGATGTCGGTTATGATCATCATTACTGAGGAGTGACAATAATAATTATGGTAGGCATTTAGTGATTGAGTAAAGAGCAGTATAACACGAGTGAATCACCTTTCTAATGTTGTTAGGTACTGTCTAGTCGGTTACGACTCATAGTGACCCTATGTACGTACAACGACCTTTCTCTAATAGGTTTTTAAAGTTTGTAAATCCCCTAAAGAGTTTTAGAAGGGAGGAGGGGTTGTGCATATAGCAGACCTCCTCCAGGTGGTCCTCTAAGGAGAATATTGCCAAGGAGAGCGAGTCCAGCCTTGATGGTTTGACAAGTGTACATATTTCCTTTAAGAATCCTCTTCTTTCCTAGGGGTGATGTGCTGAAAGAACAGGTTGGTTAGGGAACTATAGACTACCAGGTGAGTCGCTGTTTTGAAACATTTTTATTAGAGTAATTGTGTGGTAAGATTACTTTCTACAAGTTTGTTACTTAGAAATTTGCCATTTTTTTTTTTAATGTGTTTTTAAAATGCTTGTTCTCCCTATGTAGGGGTGGAAAAGGTGGCGGAGATTGTCGAGACACAAGCTTTCAAACTTCTGTTTGGTAGAGCCTAGTGTTCTAGGATCTATTCAAAAGATTTTGTTTTAATTCCATTGTCTAAACAACTTCTAAAATCCTAGAATTTTGGAAGTCTAATTCTGAGCCACTGATAACAAACTATGAGGTTATTGTGAGGACTTTGGTCCCTAACTGCTGAGAATCTCGCTGTTCTTTTTTACTCCATCCTGTTGTGACGGATGTAAAAACCCTGTAGTCAAGAAGAGCAGTACCTATAAAACTGGACCCAACCGCTGTGGAGGGATTCCTTAGTTAAGTATCACAGTCTTTAGGAGCACTTTTTATCTTTGCCCTTCTGGACAGGTACAGATTTTCTGAAGCAACCCCTTGAAGATGTTCACTTAATTTTCCTACGGCCCCCCAAAAAATCCATCTTCGTATTTTTAGCTAAGAGAAGAAGATTCCCAGTCTTGACACCTAGAGGCCTCCGTGTTGCTCACAGAGGACTTAAGTGTTTCTTGTTCGCTGAAGTTTTTCACTGACTGTACGGAACATGTGGATCATCATGCAAAGTGGAGACGCGGCAGCGTCCACGCTTCACCCCCACCCTCACACAGACATGCATCAGAAGCACATACAGCCCTTCAACGTTCAGTCCTTAAGAGTCAGCGCATGCCTGATGTTCTCGCTGTATCTGAACTTAATTGGAGAAATGAACACTCAAAATCAAAATATGGAATTTTTCATGTAAATCAAGTGTTGTCTTTTAAGATATGAATCCCACTAATTTATTTATGTGAGTATAGTTAATATTTGCCAATTACTATTCCCAAAGAACCCAAAGCATCCACAGGAATTCCTGATTTAGTATGAATCATTCCTATCCCCTGAGAAAAGTGGCAAGATATTCTCCTCAGACCCTCATAAAGCCACTTTTCTGTTCTTCCATGCCCAAAGCCTCTTATCACACTAGTTGACTGTGCCAAAAAGTTCCCCAAGGAAATCTGAGAGCGTGCAGAAGTCTCTTCCCTTACTTTCTAAATTACCCACCCCCAACCCCACCCCAGCAAGAGCGGAGAGGTTGAGCATGACTGCCTTGGCAATTGGACTTTTTTTCCTTGATACACTTGTTATACTTGATATTACTCAGACTGGGTGCTGGGGTCATTTCCTTTCTTCACCCCCAAATACAGTTTATAAGATTACATTCCCCTCAAATGTCTTTGCTTTTACTCTTAAATTACAAGGCACCCCTTAGAAGAAAATCCATTGCTAACTAAAATCTACCAGTTAATTGATCTCAGCATTTGAATTCATTTGATTGTTTGACTCATACTGTGGTTATCAAACAAGAAGTTAAGAACAGTAGGGTTCAAGATACGCATAATGTATACATACAGGTGTGTTTACAAGGCACATATGTTTGCAATACACAGTGTGCAATGTGGTTGCAAAATATTGCATTTTATTAATATGTTTATTTTAACATCGTGAATTGGTATTGTAATTGAACTGACAATTGCTTTTCTTCAGTACGTTTTCATTTTGAGCAATATTTCATATAAGAGAAAAATCACTGTTGACAAGCTTTCTAAAATGATTTTCTTCTGTATTTGGTCTTTTTGAGGAAGTGATGTAAATTGGCATTATATAACGAAATTGTTTAGCAAAGAATATTTGGGATTTGTTTTCTGTTTTTTTTTTTTCTTCCCCCTTTTGGTCGAAAGTTGTATTAATAGTACAACAGAGAACGAAAGAATAAAACAGTGTTTAAGAATGTTACTTTCATGTGGTCATTGTGTTTTAAATGTTCCCCTCTTACCTTAAACTACGAAAAAAAAAAGTTGAGTATAAAAAAACTGCTCTCCACTGACAGTTAACATAGAAGAGTTCATTTCAATTCACTGTTATCTCTAAGCCCTGAAAAATGTTAGTATTTTCAAAATCAAAAATTTAGAGGAAAAAACTGGCCAATATATTTGGTTCACAAATGTATTCACAGCTGCTTGTAACGTGTTCTACCGCATTTTCATATTTTGTTTGTTTTCTCTGAAGCCGGCCTAGACTAACCCGCAAGGTCTCTTCCCATTCAAGGATTCTGATTCTGAAGTAGCGAGGGACGCGTTCTCTCTGACCACTTGAATTATCCCAGTCATATGTGTCACCGGTTGCTGCACTTCCTCCTGGAAGTTAAATCTGCTTGGTTTTTTAAAATTATTTTGTGATACTCATTAAAATGTTGAGTTCTCTTTGCTGTAAAAAGCCTTTCACTATGTTAATTCAATTTTATCCATTTTCCCTAAAAATTGAATGTAGTTGTTAGAGTAAGCGAATTTTTTTTTTTAATCCAACAGGTATTAAATAGTCATTTATTTAACGGGCTTGCAGTAATATATACTCAAGTGACAACTGGACCATGAAGGCTCCTTCTGCTGGGTTCCTGCTAAGCAAAGACTCATTACTTTACACACCTGACATTTTAAGTCGATCCAGATTTGTCTCCAGCGACTTGGTGCCATTAACCGCCAGGAGTATGATCTACCATTGCCACTTTTAGTTTTATCTGTACATTAGAGTTGGCTGCCGTCTTTGAGTTGTCAGACAGTGTAAATCACTCCCAGATTCACCGACCTCCCTCCTGTTGCATTGTGGGTCGTCTTCCTTTGACGCCTTAAATTTTTCCAGGATGAAGTCAGGTAGCAATTGTAGGCTATTTTTGTGTTCCTTAAGCTTTTTTGTTGTTGGTTTGGTTTTAGTTTTAATATTAAAAATAAATCGCTAGCATTTTCAGAGTCACGTGTAATATTTGATTTTTTGTCTTGGCACTTGGTAGGTAAAAGACTGTATTATGGTAGCATCCCAAGTAAAAAAGAAAATACTCAAAACTGCCTTACTCATTTTCATGCTTTCTATTAAATTTCTAAGAAATTTTAATTTCCTTCTGAAAGCAACGTTTTTTAATAAAAGCAGCAAGAATGAAAAATAGTATACTGCCACACTTAATATATACTCAGTACATGCTTTCCAAAGCAAACAAATTCTTCAGTGAAATAAATTTCTTCAAAGGTGAGGGTTTCATAGAAATAATGAGCACATAAGTTGAGAAAAAAAATTAAGGTTTTTCTGATAGATGACAGTGGCTGTGGGATCCTAAAATTCTTTATGGAATGCCCTAATTCTTGATGAAAATAGTATAGGTAATCCACACTGCATATATGTGGATTTTCACAAAATAATATAAGTACTGGATGTGACGCATTTGTGAGCACACATTAAAGGTACGAAATTTAAAGTGTGAAACTACAGAATTTAAAACACCATGGCTGTAGTGTCTTTAGGTTCCCGGCAGTAAGTACCCTACCCAAACCAAACCCATTACCATCAAGTCGCTTCCGACTCATAGCGACCCTATAAGACAGAGTAGAGCTGCCCCATAGGGTTTCCAAGACTGTAAATCTTTATGAAAGCAGACTGCCACATCTTTCTCCCGCAGAGTGGCTGATGGGTTCGAACTGCTGACCTTTCAGTGAGCAGCCGAGCGCTTAACCACTGTGCCACCAGGGCTCCTTGCAATAAGTACAGTGGCCGTAATTACAAGACTTGGTCCTTGACCATTCCACATCTTTGTACACCTATCCTTTTATTGTAGATTGTAGTACTTCTAATTCCTTTTCCTTTTTTTTTTTTAAACACATTTTAGTGTTCTTCACATATTTTAATATCCCCGGACAACTTTCCCAGATGAGGCGACCATTGCTGATCTCCCTGGAAGCTGGCCCGGTTTGACTCCCACGCCATTGTGTTTCTCCATGAGGTCCCTTGGCAGCTCAGCTAGAAGGAAGCCGCAGGTTCTTCCCCTCACTCAGAGTAATCGTCTGTGCTGCAGTGACAGATGTGCAATACAGCAGCTTCTTCAGGAAAAAATGAACAGTTTGTCCAGCATGTCAGCTCGCTCTTTTTAGTGCTTGGGAGGTCTTGGCCCCATTATGGATGATTTAGAAATTGAGGCAAACAAAGACCAGCTGCCTGCGCTGAAAGCTTTCGTTAGCCGGCCTCATCTGCATGCCAGGACTCACTCACCCCCAGAAATTGGTGGAGCCCCTCTGGCCACTAGATGAGTGTGGGCTGACAATGCCTTGATTTGCTGAGAGAGAGAATAAATGGGTTTTTCAGAAGATGAGGAAATATCACCATTACTGGCCAATTTACAGCATTTTATCTGTTCTTCAAACATGTCACTTTTGTTATTGTTGCCTGGTAATTACATAGTGAAAGGGAAGGAAAACAAATTCCAGTTACGTATTCAGATGGATTGCAAAATCATATAATCCTGATAAATGCCCATTTATGATACACATGGATGAAAGGTTCATTTTAATTTTGAATGGCTAGCTCAGTCATAAATAGGATATAGGATTAAATTCCAGAGAATCTGATTACATGAAAGCAAAGTCTTTCGATTCACTTTTTCTGATCTGGAAAATTCGGGGAGGTGTCATAAGGTATTTTTACAAACAGGGTTTTCCTGAGACAATACAGAGAGTAAACTCAGAATGCCTGGTGAAACCAGAGTTCTCTTGTCCTGGGATCAGTCAGCCCTGAAGCCGTCTCAAGAAGCCGCTGGAACTTTGGGCCTAGGCCAAGAGGTTTGCAGCTTAGGGGAGCAGCCTTACATTTCGAAGCTCTCACGTTCTTAGCGACTTCGGAAATCTCAACAAACATTTGGATGCCAGGAATCAAACGTTTTTCCTGGTGTTCCCCTTTCTAAGGTTATTTCTCCCCCATCCCATCCCCAGGCCCCCTGTTATAAAGGAACGTTACCTATGGAAGTTCAGCTGAGCCCTCACATAAAGGAAAGGAACAAGGGGGAACAGCACCCTGGGATGACTACTTAAAATGTCAGGGGTGTGAAGTAATGAGTCTTTGCTTAGTAAGGGCCCGGCAGAAGGAGCCTTCATGGTCCACTTGTCAGGTAAGTACAATTACCACAAACCTGTTCAATCAATGAGTGTTTAATACCTGTTGGCTCTCCAGTTTGCTGTGGCAGGGAGAGAGGGACAGAGGAGGCACACCAGCACTTCACTGCCTTGGCCCGGGGGGTGACAAGTATCACTTCTGTTCATTATCCATTGGCCAGAGCTAGTCACACAGGCCAGCGAATACAGGAGGCTGCAGAACGTATGGGAGCACTTGGCTATTTGGTGAGCACTGTTCCTGCCACGCGGTCTCCATGTGACACACCCAGACTGCTAGGTATCAGTACGAAGCAGTATATACTCATGTTTCATTGAATCTACTATGCCATCAACTTTAAGACGCACCTTAATTTTAACTATCATTGAGATGCAAGATGCATCCTAAGGGCACATAAAATTAAGGTGCATCTTAAATGCAAGATGCATCCCAATCTCAGAAATGTTAATATGTGAGAAAAAAATTATATATATATATATATAAATGTATCAAACAAGTAGTGCAGAGAAAATTCTATAGGAATGTCAAGGAAGGAAGTATGGAGCGGTGACGTGGAGCTGCTCTTTGAAGAATGAAGAGTTTGACTAGAAACACAGAAAGCTTATTTTACCAATAACTGCTACTGTCTGTCTTGATTGATGATGGAAAAGGCACAGGCTTTGGAGTTACCGCAAGCCCGCTCCCATGCCCACCTACCTTCTGTACCATTATGGGCTAAGCTCACTAGTTTCAGCTCCTTTTCTCGAGTAAGGACTAATAATAGCTACCTGACAGGGCTATGGGACTGAACAAAATAATCCCCGTCAAATACCCTAGCATGGTGTTGACATTTTAGTTCTTTTCCTGTTTCTAATCAGGGGACAAATTGTTGTTTGTTTACTCTTTTGCCTAAACGAGGAGGGGAAAGGCTTGGAGAGAAGTCTTAATACATTTCTACTTTGCTAACGGGTCTTAAAGACAGTCATACTAAACAACCTTCCTACTTTCATAGTCATTGATGGATATACTCTTAGTAATAAACTGCTGTAACTCCAAAGGATGGTATTTTTTTAAAATCCATTCAGTTAAAACCTATAAATAATAAAAATACAGAATTCAACTGCCTACACTCAATGAATAATTTCTTATTAGCTGACTGCAGCTCCCTGAGGCACCATCAGCCACGCCCACCAAGGCCTTTGGAACCTACCGTGCTTCTCTCCCCTGTATATGTTGTTGATCTCGAAGATGTGAGACACAGCCCAGAGCCCAGCCCTGTGTGCGAATGCAGTTGGTCCCTTGAGAATGAGTATGCAGCTGAGAAATACTGTCACAGAAGAACCAGCTCAGGCAATCAGTGAAACTATGCCTGTATCCAAGCCAGTCTTCTAAGGGGGACCCTATTGGGTCACCTGTCCAAGATCTCTGTTCATGGAACGTTCTCCACACTACTGCCTTCCCACCCTCTCCCTAAGATAATTCCAGGGGATTTAGAATTAGGGCTAGGAGATTTCACGCCTACCTTGGTGTGACTGACTGGTCCTTTGAATGGAGGCATCATTGGACTGGGAAGCAGAGAAAGTCAGTCCTCAGATGACATAAAGGAATGAAGTACAGGAGCAGAGAGAATGAAGACAAAATGTTTGGGTTTCCTATAGCCCTCAAGGTCTGGTGAGAGTTGCTAGGTGTTCTCTTTGAACAAGACCAGAGGGCCATCACTT